AGGTGTAGATGTTGTAGAGTTAAGTTTGGTTATTTGGTATCTGTTTGTGAGGAAAGACTTAATCCATTGCAATAGGGGGTTTGTAATTCCAACTGACTGGAGTCTGTTGATTAGAAGATTATGGGGTACTTTGTCAAAGGCTTTCTTTATATCGAAATAAAGTATAATCACTAGCTTTTTCTGGTCGCGTATGCGAGTAACATCGTTAAAGAAGTCTATCAGACATGTACTACATGATCTTGTTCTAATGAAACCATGTTGTGTTGGGTCTATTAGTTCTTCCTTAAGTAGGTGATCTGATAGTTGACTTTGTATCACTTTTTCCATTATGCGCGAAATAACGGGGGTGATATTTATAGGTCTGTAGTTTCCGACCAGGTTTCTCGGTCCTGATTTGTGTTTGGGAAGAACATACGTTACCTTCCAGGCTTCAGGATATGTACCCGCCTCTAATGATAATGTGTATATTTTGAGCAATAACGTATGTATATCCGGCCCCGACATTTTATAGAGAATTGATGGTATATCATCAACACCAGAGCTCGCATTCGGCTTAAGGGTTTTGATGGCGGTATGTATACTCCTAATGTCAAAGTTTATGGTGCTAATATAGCTTTTGCTTATGCATTTTATGTTAAAATCTGTGGCATTAGATGTATTCCCGTTTTGTGAAAACCATTCACTTAGCAGTTCGCATATGACGGTTTGGTCATAGTACGTCACGCCATCGTGCAGTAAAGAGTGAATGTTGTGATCTTCGTTCTTTCTCATCCGTTTTGCAAGGAGCCGACATAAGTTTTGAACTTTAGATGCAGCTGTCAGCGCAGTACGTTCTTCTGTCTGTTTGTTTTTGTTGTGATGACTTTGCACTCCTTCAAGTACTGAGTATACCTGGTGCAGGGCACTAAAGTCTTTTGATGTAAAGTACGTCTTAGTTTTCGTAGCTTAGACTTAGCCTTTTGGTTGATGTAGGGGGCAATTGTTTTGAAAGCAATTTTAAAAGGGATGGTAGTGTCTAGTGCAGATTTGGTGGTAGTATTGAATATTTCCAGTGTTTCTAAAAGGTTATCACTGGTGAAGAAAGTGTTCCAGTCAGAATGCTTCATAAGAAACCGAAAGTTACTCCAGTCGGCGTTTGCATAGTCTCTATATTGGAAACACGTATTTAATGTCTTTAATTTTTTGCGCTTAGCAAGAATCGGAAGGGTGCAGAAGACTATTTTATGATCGCTATTATGGAACTTCTCGCCAACCACCATTGATGCTGGTGTGACATTGTGACAGAATATTAAGTCAAGAATGTTGTGATTTCGGGTAGGCAAGTTAACATGTTGCTGCCAACCGTGTATGTCTAAGGACCTTAGTATTCCTTCGTAGCACGTGGGCCAGAATGTGTCTTCAAGTTGATGGTTAGAAGGTTGAAATCACCACAGACAATTTTGTAGGCGAAGTCAAGCGAGGCAGCCTTAGCAAATGACTAGCTTATAATGGTGTCAGTCAGACTGGGGGTATTCGGAGCTCGATATATACATCCGATTAGTATTTTACATTCAAGGGTGTGTACAGTAAGCCACATCGAATCTGGTACTTTACTGAGGATATGATCACTAAAGATTTCCGTCCTCATATTTTTTGATGCATATATGAGACAACCGTCACCCTTCTTGGTGACTCGGTCACAGCGGAAGTCAGTCAGTCACAACGTAGAACTTCGTACGTGCGTACATCAGTTCGAGTTGCCATACCACATTAGCACAGAGATGCAGTTGTCGATTCAAATCCCATAGTGGTAGAAGTAGTAGGAGTATAATCAGAAATCCAAAAGATTAGGGTTTCAAGATGTTATTGAAGGAGTATAGTACAGTGAAATAAATTTGGAAAGAGAAAAATATAAAGACATGAGGAATTCAGAAGATTAGAATTTGGTAGAACACAAAGAGTGGATGCATCTTCGCCATTGCAGACGATTTTGAGCCATGTCATTCAAGGTCTCTAACCATCGGTTGCTGTCATCTCGCGAATCCCAACCAGGTAGTCTACACCTACCAACATGGCCCAGTCCACTTGTCAGTGACTTCATTGATTTGTGCCACGTTTTGGTCTGGCCACCCCTAGCTTTCTTCCAACCTACTCTTACACCACAAAGCATTGCACGTCGGGGCAGTCGGTGGTCGGGCATACGTAACACATGTCCCAGCCATCTCAACTGATGAAGTTTCACTACTTCATCAATCGATTTGCCATCCCTACCTAGTACTCACAGCGGAAGAGCTCATACGTGTCTATTTGGAGGTACGTGTCTGTGATATCGGAGGACAACCAACTTTCCGTTATCAAAACAAGTGAGGGGTTGTGTCAAAGTAATAGGGCGCGTAGTTGAGTCATCTTATTCTGAATAGATCGGGCATTAATTAACATTAGTGTCAGGAAGGATGAGTGTTTGTCTAATAAAATGGTGTGCTGTAAACCCTGTGGTTTGTCGCTTTTACTATCAGAAGAGGGAAAAGTGGGAGTATTGGCTCTACGTTCTTGTTTGTTTAGTTTAATACCAGCATAGTTAACGGGAGAAAGGTGGTCGTAGGTAAGTTTGGCGAAAGAAGTATGTTCACGAGTGTTGGGTAGAATCGGGTGAGTTAAATGGATAGGCGGTGTATTCGGGGGGTTATCATGTTCCGTCAAGGAGCTTTTAAGACTAGAGACAGTTATCGATGGTGATAAAGATGTGTCACTCCCCATCAGGTCGGAGTATATAGGTGGTCTCAAAATAGTGGAATTGTCGCCCTCAACATTTGGAGACCCCATAGCAATACTGTTGAGGGGGAGAGAGATAAAAAAGGATGAGGTGGTGTGTGTGCCAAATTAGGGGAGATCAGAGAGTTATAAAGGGTGGTTTGGTTCTGATAGTATTTAGAATTGATAAGTGGGTCCCCAAGCCGGCCAACATTATGGTTGTCTTGTGTGCAGTGGGGTGTTCTCCTATTACGGGTAGTTAGGGGAGTTGTATGTTTCAAATAATTGTTGCATGATTGTCTGACATTGTTGCCGGGGATGGTGTTTTTGTTGTGTGGGCTGTGCTGATTCCTGTGACCTTCATGTTCCAAGCCATATGGCTTATTGGCATCATGTGTAAGTGTGGTTTTTGTCGGGCGTGACCTCACGTTAGGATATGGGGGTACTGCCAGTTCATTATGCTTGTTGTAATGCATTCGACTACTATGAGTATGTTGTGTATTGAGAGATCTGAAGTACTTATGGGTGTTTAGAGAGAATTTAGTATTATTTCGCATTACAGTGTTTGTCGGTTATAGCTATTAGAACGATTGATGTGAGGCTTGGGTTTTGGCTTTTCATCGGAGCCACAAGAAGAGTGCTTTGAAACTGTAGAAACATAGGTGGGTGGGCATTTTGTTGTAGTTGAGTGTTTGGGTTTAGGGTGAATGGTTACAGCTGTCTGGTGTTTAGTCTTGTTCTTAGGACTAGTAGCAGTGTGCGACGTGTCTCCGTTTTTGGGAGGGGTGGGGTATGGTGTTTATGGATAGCGCTATGGCCAACGTTGTAACTGCCGCTACCACGTAGGCTGGGTTGATTGTTTTGCACTTCATTGGAGTTTCGACGTTGGATGGCAGTCTTGTCATGGGTGATTCTAACTTTCTTAAAGGTTGGAATGCGCCTCAGTAAAGACTGGCTTTTAAGGAGGTGATTGGCTTCTATGATACTACCAAACTGAAATAGAATGGGACAAGAGGCTTTAGTCTGTGTTTTACGTAATCTTCTTGCTACACACCAAGATTGCGACAGTCCACCTTCTTGTAGTAGAGTATTTTTAGCAAGCTTTAGATTCGTACTATCAGGTACATTATACGCAATGACATTGTGCATACACTGAAGTCTTTTCAGCACTTCAGCTGATATGTGGTCAATTATTTTTTCAGTGTTTTTTATAATTTCGAGATCAGGATTTTCCGGAACACTGATTAGGTATTTATACGGTAATAGGTCTTGAATAGTTTGGGTGAGGCTAGATTTTATTTGACTGCTTTTAGAACTATCACTGGTGGGATTATTAGAGTTTATATCAACATTATTATGGTTCATTTGGTTGCATAAACATTTGTTGCAACTGTCTACCGGGTGGTCATCTTGTGCGTACTTAGTTGGGGGATAAGGTATATGTTTGAGTGAGTAGTCGAGATCTACATTATTATGCTGGCTACTGTAAGTGGGCTTATGTGCACTCTGTTGGCCATTACACAGGATGACCGATTGTGGACTTATTGTGTGTATGGGGTCAACCGCACTGTCTAAGTACCGCTCACGTGTGATATGTGGGCTGTCAAATGATGTCGGGGTAGGTGGTAGGCGATTACTCTTATTTATATCTACAAGCGAGATGCAAGGTAGTGACAGGTCATGTCCAAGTACATGGTGCACGTCTAGTGTAGCTGTAGGAAGATCAGAGTATGATGAAGACTGATCAGTGTGTTTAGAAAGCTTCACATTATTCGCGTGAGTGGTGGATTTAGATCTTTTGCACGTGCTATGAGCATCAGGAGAGATTATGTGCTTTTTAGATGGCCTGGACATTATTAGAAGTAATGTAAATATAAATTTTGTATTGGGTGAGCAGCGACTGCTGTATCTTTACTTACTAGATGTGCAAAGTTTTATGGTAGAGTCAGATCAATATTTGCTAATAGCTAATATATTAACGCTAGTGAAAGAGGAAAGGTGGACAGCGTGTGAAATAGTGAGCTTAATGTACTACGTTGAATCACAGGATGGGGTGTCAAATTAATAGAGCCCTATCAGAAATGAAGTATTTTTTTCACTAATAAATGTTGTTAAATTAGAAGGAAACACTAATAATAATAAAAAGTATAACCACGTGAAAAAGAGTTACAACCTTCAAAAGAAACTATCTCAATGAACTCTAAAATATGAACACTCAGTATGTACTGACTTTCCTTTTAATAAATTCTCCTTAATTCAAAACAGCTCTTAAGAAAAAAAGTACTTATATTACAATAACTATTTGAATAGAAAAGAATATCACAAAACAGAGCATCTTTGGAAAACAATCACATAGGAAAATCAGAAGGGGTTTTGGTGGAGATTTAGTATTTTCATAGTTGAAAGCGTAAGTTAATTGAAGCTAGACCACTATGGAGAACTTGGAAGCACTGGACGGCCATTTTGTCGTATTATGGGACTCCTCCAGTGCTTTCAGGTTTTCCATGATGGTCTAGCTTCAATTGACTGACGCTTTCAACTACATAAGAAAATATTAGATGATACTTATTCAGTTGAATAAAAATAGTCTGACTTTGACTAAAAAATACTTTACATCAAGATGTTTATGTTTAAGAGAGAGAGAAAGAGAAGTGAACAGACAATTTTACATTCACCATAGATAAGGAATCAACATAGCACGTTTAGATGTCCATTCCGGGAAATGTTTTTTATACCAATTATGATTTAACCATATACAGCATAATTGATTACACATTGTAAAAAATAATATATGCGAAAATGGTATCCATTTAGGTGTAATAAATAATTGAAATGACAAGTAAATTGATATTTCAAGTATGTAGTGAGGGCATGTGATCCAATGAAACATACTTCCTTCAGGTGGATAATACTTTTTCTCTGATAATTTGCCTAAAAAAGAATAAAAATGAGAACTTGATTTCAGTGAGTTAGAAACATACAGAATATCCAAAGCCAAATATTTTATATTTTGTTTCCCAATAAGACCGTTGTAAAGTGAGTTAATTTGATTTTTACTGGCTGGCCTATATTTTAATCAGGCAATTGTAGTTCTAATGTGTTTACCAATTAAATTCAACTTAGTATTGTTTGTTTGAATCTTCCCATCGATTTGTTAGGACTGCAACTGGTCAGTCTCTAATTGGCATATGTGCATACTGCCTCGATATACCTTAATTCACAAGCATGGTTAGCAGAGAATGAACATCAACTCTGAGATGTAGGTACATCCAGCTGACGAGTCCCAAATAGGACGAAACGCGCGTCCTGGATTCCACTGCTAGCCACTATCCATCTCTGCTAACCATGTTTACCAATTAGTTTTTTAAATGAACAATGAATTTTTTGATATCGCATTTTAATTTTCTGATAAGTGTGATGATAATTACGACTTTCTCGGTAAACGAACGAAGGTCAATAACACAGTGACACGATAGGCTAATCTGATCCGCTGTCCCAGGCCCTACTAACTAGAGGAAGACGTCCAAGACGAAGTAGGGGAAAATATATTCCGTAAGCAGTCGAAGTACAAGAAATCAAACCTATTTATACAGTACAAAATTGTCCTTGGGAAGCATTACAAATTATTATTTAAACACATAAATATTGGTACAAAGGTGCACTAAATGTATATGCGCCGCACAAATCAAATGACATTTGTGTGAGGGCTGTGATACTGCACAGGTGCCCAAACTGGAACAGGTGGTTTTCTTAGGGGACCACACCCGGAGACTTTGACCTAAAGGTCTGATCCACAAGGCAATGGAGCATCGTGAGGAGATGCAGTCCCATGGTAGCCCGTGACCAACGATTGATTCATACGCCATTTGTTCTCTCAGGATGCTGGAGCCCATGTTCACCATTGGTTTGAAATCAGGGTTTTCCAACTCCCCTAGGTGGATTCACCTTGTCCATCAACCCGGTTAAAGCGCCGGGCATTCGCTCTTCGTCCTCTCAATTTTGTAAACAGTAATGCCACGAAAAGACAGTGGGTAGGACTTCCCTGGCGGAGGCTATTAACGCGTGGCTATGTGAAAGCATTTGGAGACTGAGAGCGGACTCTCTCGACTCTCAGCCGTACCAGGGCATTTGGGAGCAAATATTACAGACTTTTTCAGTGTGCTATTTTGTAATGCTACAAAATAGCACACTAAAAAGATACAACAGACCAAAAGAGTTTAAGATATTTCCAAGTGGAAATACGACCCGAAGGTAAAAGGAGAGCTTTATGCGCCAAAACAAGGAAATTCAAATTTTCAAAATAAAATTATAAAAATAAGTCATTTATTAAGTAATTTCTGGGGATTTAACATCCTCAACATATTCTACCTTCTATATCACAAAAAGCTTGTAATAGTGTTAAATAAAACTATGTCATATACACCGACATGTTTTGAATTACCAAGTTAATCAAATATAATTTATAATCATATGACTATTGGAGTTAAGTTAAAAATCTTTTAAATAATTATGATAAATTTTAAGATAGTTTTGGATGTAATAAATTACCAAACCTCCATTTGTGTGAATTAGCATTTTTCTAATCGAATTGTTGAAGTGTTCACCAATAATCATCAGTAACCATAGCGACCGAGTTTATAGTTGTTTATTTGAACACATAAATATTGGTACAAATAGGCACATAGTGTATATGCGTCATACAAGTCACTTGATTTGTGTGTGAGATGTGATACTACCCGGGTGCCCAAACCGAAGCAAGAGTTTACAGTTGATAATGTATACTGATAAAACTATTTTGAAAAGAAACTGGATTAAAGCAAAGGTTACTTTAACAAGAGTTTAGAACAAGTAACCTCAGTTGGTTAATTGTTTATCATCAATTTTTTACTGGTTTTCATCTTAGATCACAAAGTATGCAAGGTGAAGTAACTAATCATCAAATGAAGATGTGTATTAGTAAGGATTTGAAATTTTGTTTTGCTGATATTTAGCATTGCCATTGATCACTCTTTGTTATGGATTGCACTGCTTCTCAAATACTGAATATACTATAAATATACACTAGTTTATCACATATATGAATCTATTAAACAATAAATTCAGCTTTAAATTGTTAACGAATTACAAGAAGAACCAATAAAAACATGCATAATGGCAACCCTTACTATTTAATGAAGAAAATTTCTACACTTTATAATGAGAGTACTTTACTAAGTATTATAATATTAGTTTATCTTATCTACAGGCCCCTAAATGCCCTGGTACGGTCGAGAGTGGGGAGAGTACGATCTCCCTCTCCAAATCATCTCACATGGCCACACGTATATAGCCTCTGCCACGGAAGTCCTACTTACTGCCTTCTCATGGTGGCATTACTGTTCTTCACGAAATTGAGAGGACGAAAAGTGGATGTTCGGAGCTTTAACCGAGTTAGTGGACACGGCGAGTCCACCTAGGGGAGTTGGAAAACCCTGATTCAAAACCAATGGTGCACATGGACTCCAGTAATCTGAAGGAACAAATGGCGTATGAATCAGTCGTTGGTCACGGGCTACCATGGGACTGCATCTCTTCACGATGCCCCATTGCCTTGTGGATCAGATTTTTAGGTCAAAGGCTCCGGGTGTGGTCCCCTAAGAAAACCACCTGCTTCGGTTTGAACACCCCGGCAGTATCTCAGCCCTCACACAAATAAATGAAATGATGACTTGTACTGACAATCTTATTTACGCACTTACTATATGACAGACAATTTGCATTATTATTATCATTAGTATTATTATTAACTACCATATCGCTTATTCACTCCCTTTTATCCCCAATTTGTGTACGCTTACTCTTCAACTTATGCAGCAGCTCGCCCATGGTGGAAACTCTGTTCTATCTAAACGATCTCTAGTCGCTGTCTGGTCGAAAGTGAATGCTTACGCCGATTACGAATACTGAACCAGTCTTTCTGAAACCACGTGCGCCGTTCACGCTGGCTTCCTTCAACGTTCGCACACTAATGCAGATCGGACAACAGATGGGGCTGGCTATGTCTTTAGAAAGTCTTAATGTTGACGTCTGTTGTCTATCCGAGACCCGTATTGAAGATTCTAGTGCACTACTACAAATTCTCTCTCCATCCGTCGCCTCGAAAAGCTTGTTTCACGTGCGCTTATCCGGGGACCCTGTGGCATTCTCGTCTGGTCTTGCTGGCGTTGGTGTCGCACTAAGCGCTAGAGATGAGGCAGCACTAATCGATTGGATCCCCATTAACAGTCGGTTATGTGCTGTTGGATTAGAAAGTTCCATCAAAGTGGGAAGAAATCGGCGTCAGAAACGGTGTCTTTTCGTCATCTCCGCCTATGCCCCGACAGATTGCAGCCCAGATGCAATAAAAGATGAGTTCTACCACCAGTTAACTGTTCTTCTCCAGAATGCGCGTTCGACAGATATTGTAGTATTAGCATCTTCTCCCTTTCTCATTATTTTGTGTGGACCATATGTATCTGGTGTCCTCTTGTACCAATATGTATGTGTTTAAATAAAATAAATAAAAAATTCACAAGCATTATAAGCAAAGATGAATCTCGATTTATTTTGTATTGAAACGTTACTTATTGTAATAATGTAACAAACCCATCAAAGTGATCAGCGAATCTCGATTAAACTACTGATTTAATTTATTCATCACAATTAATTGTGAATGCATCTCATTCTAAAATTCCGATAAAACTCTCTCTCTACATACGAAATAATAACTGTGTTTTAATTATTTGCCAATACTTTTAGTGACATCAGACATGGAATAAGAAAACAACACGATCTATCAGAATATAGTTACTAAGAAGTGAAATTATAAGAAGAAATCTGGGGTAGAATGAAGTTAACTTAGACTCTGAATACAGCGGTACCCACTGACTGTCACTAGCACAGATAAAATAACATTTTTGACAGCGATATACATTTGAAACTAGCAGAAAACAAGACGAGCCTTGAAGCTTAAGTACACTCATTGTAGCCCCCAAATGCCCTGGTACGGTCGAGAGTGGGGAGAGTACGATCTCCCTCTCCAAATCATCTCACATGGCCAAACGTATATAGCCTCTGCCACGGAAGTCCTACTTACTGCCTTCTCATGGTGGCATTACTGTTCTTCACGAAATTGAGAGGACGAAAAGTGGATGTTCGGAGCTTTAACCGAGTTAGTGGACACGGCGAGTCCACCTAGGGGAGTTGGAAAACCCTGATTCAAAACCAATGGTGCACATGGACTCCAGTAATCTGAAGGAACAAATGGCGTATGAATCAGTCGTTGGTCACGGGCTACCATGGGATTGCATCTCTTCACGATGCCCCATTGCCTTGTGGATCAGATTTTTAGGTCAAAGGCTCCGGGTGTGGTCCCCTAAGAAAACCACCTGCTCCAGTTTGGGCACCTGAGCAGTATCACAGCCCTCACACAAATCAAATGAGACTTATGTGGCGCATATATATCTGGTGCCCCTTTGTACCAATATTTATTTTATTTAGATAAATAAATAAACACTCCTTGTAAATGAGTGATGGACAGAAAACATTTTAGTCTGTGACTAACTGTTGATTAATGTAAGTTTTTGACGTAAGATACTTTAGGTAATTTAGATTATCGGCTGAAACTTTGTTGAAAAGACAGAGACAGGATGCAGTAGCTAATTAAACCAAAAGCTTTGAAATGGAAGGAAAATGTGGTCGAATTTGTAGTTGCTTTTCTCAGACTTATCTACAAATAAGATAATGCTAAAATGATAAACAAGCCTATTGTTTAGGTGGTTGGAGGCAACTGATAAGAAATCATTATAAACACAAGTGTTTTACTGGTTGACACTCGTCGGCTAAGTGCACTTGCAGTAGACAATCAATATCAAATGCTCACGAAATTCATTCAACCGGACAGAAATCTAAACATAGTGAGATCACAGGCAAATAAATAGTATATTAAATGAATTTTGTATTACGTGGAGATTACCTGTGTTTTTATTATTTCCTGAACGTAAGGCAGCTAATTGTCGGAACACCAAATCCTGTAAATACTGAAGTATTAACATGTGTACAGTAAATAAACCAATAACTAAATATGATCGTTCAGCTGAAAGATAAATGATTGTTAAATGATACAATTAATGAAGGTACATAAATAAAACGTTATGGTGAATCTATAGATAAAGATTGTACTAGAGCTGAGCGACATTCACTGTGTGGATGCTCTACGTAAAATCTGGTGAACTATGAAGATATATGTGGGGGAAACATAATTCACAGCCAAAAACGAGACGGTTAAAATTCGAATATATAAACCATTAAGTTGAAACCCACAAACATGTAAAAACACCTACTCAAATTTTGGAGATGCTCCGAGAAGATATACTGAACGTGATACGTTGAATCAATTTCATAAACATAGGGTATAAGTGGAAGATGCTGACGAGCACACACTATTGATTAACATTTATTCACAGTTTACTGATCATTGGGTGGTGATCAACATCATGTATGTCAAGTTCTTCTTAGTGCAGATCGAATGCTATCGATGAAGTTGCAATGTGGCCACCAGTCTGGGTGACTCGATATTGCATGCACTGTATTGGGATAAGATGGTGATCGGAGGTAGTCAGGATTTCCTGATGACTTAGATTAACTCTCTACGAAAATGGAGATGTGCTACTGGTTGAAAATCTGGCCTTATTTTCTAAGGGAAAAATATATATATTTAGAAGTGATATGAAAATATATTTTCAACCCGGTTACCGAATGAAAGCTTCCTAATTAATCTTGGTTCTTTCACTCAAGTAGTTGGTTTAGGTATCCATATAGTAACAGACTCAGATGATGGAAGATCATGATAAAACGTAAACTCCGATTTGTGCTATAACCTATGTGAAAATGTCACATAGAGACAGGTCGGTATATATATTCTAATTTTATAATTTTTATACACATTACTTTATACAGTAAGTGTGACAAATCGTCAAGATTGGACATCAAGTGCTTATGATACTGATATCTTGACCCACTACAAGATTAGCAACTCTCCATGAAGTTAGAACTCCATCCTACCGAAAATGAGGTGGTGCGACTGGGGTTTCCTTCGCAGTATTAGATTTTAAGAACCAGTTCTAAGCAACATGGTTACTGTTAATTGATTCTTTGTCGAAAAAAAGTTTTGTACTCTTGTTTCAAGAGGTCTTTATGTTGATACGACTATTGCAAAAACTCATGCTCCCTAGGAATAAAAGCTTGCTGAAAGACATTGGAGAGAATCCATACAAGTAGACTGAATACATTAATTATCTTTATTGCAGATTAACTCCATTACTTTTACAATTAATTATAATAAACATACTCATCCTAACATCTGCTATATGCTGTTTTATGTGGTAGCTGAACAATGAAGTATCATGCAGTACAAATTAATTAATTGGTATCCAACTCTCATAGTACAGTTACAAAACTCAAATAATAAAATCTCGCGAATTGAACTTTTCCTGAATCCCTAAGATGACACGTACAGCAGTATTGAGCAATATAAACAGTGGTGAATAGGGTCTATCTCATTGTTTACAAGAATCTATTATTTGACTAGACAATAATTACAGATAAAAAAAGATAATCAGAATATCATTGGAACCAATACAACACTTTTTAGCTTTATTAAATAACTTGGTGTATCGCATTAACCAGATTGTGATAAATGTACTCAGCTTTCAGTACCACTTTCTATCTCAAGATTAGTGATACATTATTGACAGTTCATATAGAAATAGATGAAACGTAGTTCGAATCTGTGATCCAATAATCAAAAGTTAATTAGGCTAACCACTAAATTGTATTTATATTTAACGCCTACTAACTACTATCTGGTGACTGCCAAAATCAACCAGATTATAAAATTCGTATATTTTTATACGGTGCTATATACAGATTGTGAGAATAAGAAAGCAATTATTAAAAATAAAAACTGATCATAGAATAGACTGAAGTTCAGATAATAAAATGAATAAACATTGATGAACACTGGCAGTCAGTCAGTCAATCACAACGTAGAACTTCGTACGTACGTACATCAGTTCGAGTTGCCATACTACATTAGTACAGAGATGCAGTTGTCGATTCAAATCACATAGTGGTAGAAGTAGTAAGAGCATAAGCAGTAATCCGAAAGATTAGGGTTTGAAGATGTTATTGAAGGAGTATAATACAGTGAAATAAATTTGGAAAGAAAAAAAGGATAGGGACATGAAGAATTCAGAAGATCAGAATTTGGTAGAACACAAAGAGTGGATGCACGTTCGCCATTGCAAACGATTTTGAGCCATGTCATTTAAGGTCTCTAACCATCGATTGTTATCATCTCGCGAATCCCGACCGGGTAGTCTACACCTACCAGTATGGCTCAGTCCACCTGTCAGCGACTTCATGGATTTGTGCCACGTTTTGATCTGGCTGCCCCTAGCCTTCCAACCTACTCCTACACCATAAAACATTGCACGTAACACTGGCAGCATGTATAGTAAACCATACATGCTTGTCATTATCACGTTAGACAGTTCGATGATGGTTCGAAATAACGTGAGATCTGATACAGTCTTACGTTCAGTCAGTCAGTCAGCTACAACGTAGGACCAGGCACATATATGCATCGGTTCAAGTTGCCATACCTCATTAGCACAACAAGATCAACACCGGATTAATAGAAATAGTTAATTATGTGGTGGTAGTATATACAAGAAAGGTTGTTTATAAGTATATAGTATAGGAAGAAAGACAAATATGAAGCAATTTTAATCTCAAGGTTTAAAGGAAGATAAAGAGTGTATACACCTACACCATTGTGATCGATTCTGAGCCATGTCACCCAGAGTCTTACGTTACTGTACAACAAACCAGTACAAGCAGAGAGAAAATGAAATATTGTGTATGAATAACTGGAATTTACTAAAGAGTAATAAAGGATAATAAAATTGTTAACTAGAGATAAAAATTAATAATGCATAGTTAAACATACAAAGTTCATAACGGTATTGTTGTGTGCTAGGTTCAAAGAGAATTTTTTGCTATATGCATGCAAGTCCACCCCGTTATTGTTCCTATTTGGCACCCGAATGCCCTGGTACGGCGGAGAGTGGGGAGGGTCCGCTCTCACTCTCCAAATGCTCTCATATGACCACACGCATATAGCCACTGCCAAGGAAGTCCTATTCACTGCCTTCTATCACTACGGGTATTGTTTACGAAATTGAGAGGACGAAAAGCGAATATCCGGCGCTTTGACCGGGTTGGTGGGCACGGAGGGTCCACCTAAGGGAGTTGGAAAACCCTGATTCAAAACCAATGGTGCACATGGGCTCCAGTATCCTGAGGGATGAATCAGTCATTGGTCATGGGCTACCATGGGACTGCATCTCTTCATGATGCTCTACTGCCTTGTGGATCAAACCTTTAGGTCGAAGTCTCCGGGTGTGGGCCCCTAAGAAAACCATCTGCTTCAGTTTGGGCACCTGAGTAGTATCACAGCCCTCACACAAATCTTTGATTTGTGTGGCGCATATGTATCTGATTCTCCTTTGTACCCATATTTATCTGTCTAAATAAATAAAATAAAATAAAACATACAAAGTTTACAAAATAACAATTTTTAATTACCTGCATTACTTTGAGAAAGCAAAATTGAAATAGGAGTGATCAAGTAGAATCCATTACCCATCAAAAAGTGCATAAAACTCATTTGAGAATTACTGAATATGGAAACATATTCGCACTCATACAGTCGACGTGAAACATGTACCAAATACATGATTAAAACAGAAATTATGGTTTTGTTGAGTACTGAAGCTAGAAAAAAAAACTTTTAAAGTTATATAAATTCAGAAAAATTTAAAATAGAAAGTTACCTTAATGAATAACCATGTCCATACTAGTGATTAGATCTGAGAAGGGTTTCTCGAAGTCCAAATAAGGAACTATAACCGGTAAGAGTGAGACAGTAACTTATAAATGGGATTGGCACTATAACCCAAACTGATCGCAGCTGAAACCGTGAGCTTAATTCAGGTTAACTACTCTAAAGATACCACTTTGAGTGGAGTTGAGAGTGCACACAACTAAAGAGTTATGAAACAGATTTCCAATGGATCCTAGTTTTCAACTGTATCTCAAATGAAATCAATTTACGACAAAAAATGATTTCTAAACTAATCAGATTACTCAACAAGCCTGATATATTTGTGATATTGACGACAAATTGTAACTATAAAAGCTCAAACTAGACGAAAGTAAAATTTATTAAGTGGAGAACAAAGAAGATTGATTTACATTTGAGTTTAACCAGTTATTTATTAAACATATTTAGTGATAATTAGTTACATAATTTTCCAAACTAAACAAGGACCAAAAATCAAACTGAATTTGTTAATACAATGAAAGTAAACTGAACGAAAACCATACACAAGTAATTAATATTTTCATCCTTCCGGATTCAATAATTAAATAAAGTACATATATTTGATGTTTTAACCAAACTAATTTTTATCTTTCGTCATTTAAACGTAACGAGACATGGGCAAACTACAATTGAACGGGATGCATTAACGGAAACATAGTTTATCTTGCTACACCATGTTAGTAATGCAGAGGTTCGGTATCGTGTGTTCGGGCGCAGAGACAATAATTCAATCGGTGTCACCATCTTGAAACACCGACTTCAGTGACTTGGACATGTTCTACGAATGTCGTCCCAGGGAATTCAACGTCGTGCACTATTTGTCAACTCTGGGACTGGTTGGAAAAAGCGGAGAGGTGGTCAGTGTATGACATGGTGTCATGGTATCAAAGAAGGCTGCAAAGGGCTAGCTTCTGTTGGTCCTTCACGACTCTATGGCTGGGGTCTGAGAGATGGTGCAACACAGTGGTTAGAGACGTTATCAGATATGGCTCAGAATAGAAGCCAGTGGCGAGCCTGCTGTAACCTTCTTTTACTTTCTTCATAAAGAGTGGTTATAACTTTCTTAACTAAAAGAGTCTTCTGGTTGTATACTTCAGTCCCCCTCTTTTTCACCCTTTATCTTCCTATTTTCATTGTTTTGTGTGGCGCATATGTATCTGGTGCCCTTTTGTACCAATATGTATGTGTTTAAATAAAATAAATAAAATCTTGCTACATGATAATATAAAGATATGTTGTATAATGACAAAAAGTAAATAGCAAAGTCTACATGAAGTAAACTTAAATTTCGCAACAATATTGTGCTTTACTATCCATTTATTGTACCTAAACTCAGAGTAGTCAGTTCAATAACATGAAAAATTTTATTTGGTTGCATACTTACAAAATAATTATGATCAGAATGGTGTTAATGGAGATTGTAGTGATTTTAAAAGTTGAATTCATGATTTGATGTAAGCTAGACCACCATTGAAAACCTGGAAGAATTAGAAGGCCGTTTCGTCATACTATGAGGTTCCTCAGCAGTGAGCATACACAACCCTGCACTTAGTACCCGAACCTAGGACCTTCGATCTTGCGCATGAATGCTTAATCACTAGGCCACTGAGCCGGGATGCAACAGTGTTAATGACAGGTATCTACCTCAGATAATAGATGAATGGTTGCACAATCATCCATGGGTCGATTGAAATTAGACATTAACACCGTTGGATGCTGGCTCAGTGGTCAAGTGGTTAAGCGTTCACGCGTGAGACTGAAGATTCCAGGTTCGAGTGGTAAGTGAGGGGTTGTGGATGGGAACTGCTGAGGAGTCGCATACTGGGACGAAAAGGCTATGCGGTGCATCCAGGTTTTCAATGGTGGTCTAGCTTACATCGAATCATGAATTCAACTACAAAATAATTGTGGTATACAATACAGGAATTGGATAATAAGAATGCTGTAATAGTGACAAAATATAAGGGTATGAAAAGCAATGTTAAATCTACTTACATAGCATAAATAATTCAACCAGTAGGACACATAATGTGGAGAATACACCAGTTATGTAAAAATATTTAAACCATCTGTAAACAAAGATTTAATACAATTGCTTATAAATACGGATATAACTAATTTATTGACCGGAGAAATTAAGTTTTGATAAACTGTTTAACTTAATAATCAGCAAATAAAGATAACAGATAGTGACAATGATATATCACGAACTGATTAATGCTACCAAATGTTAACTAATGAATTTATAATTAATACATGTGATGGAAACGCGACTATAGAAAAATATGAAGTTCTCAGTCTCAACATCGCATAGGTCACAAGCTACGATGAAAACAAATTAATCTACAGATTTGTGTGATATTACCTTACAATGAGATTTATCTTAGAGATAATCATCTTTCTTCATGAATATCAAATGGTAAAGAAAGACTACTGGGATGCTATAACTTTGTAAAATGGCGAATTAGGAAAAATTGGATAACACTATTTGAAGTTTCAACTCAGAACTACTTATTTAAACAACGCAAGACCTCAATCAGTCATTCGTAAGCGACATACAACCTGGTACTTATGGGTATTTGTACATGCTGCCACACCACCTCAGTACAACAAGACACTAGAGTAGTAGGAGTAACAACAGTATTGGCGGTAGTTGAAAAGAAAAGGAATAAATGATGTAATTCAAGAAAAAGTCTTGAGAATCGAAAAAAAGTTTTAAGATAACATACAAAACTTGGGATCTAAGCGAAGACAAAGAGTGAATAAATTCCCACCATTCCAGACGATTAAGAGTCGCGTAGAAACCAATCACGTAAGTTAAACCTACCTGCACGACTCAGTTCATTAGTTAATGACTTGAAGAGTTCATGGAACGTTTGATTTGAGAGCACCTGGCTTTTTTCCAACTTACTCCCACACCAATGAAAATTGGGTGTCCAGATAGTCGGTAGATGAGCATTTCCTTACTACCTCAGCCAATGGAGATTCATCATCTTATTATCAATTTGACAACCTTATTTGATATCCGGCATCTAACCTCAGTATTACCAACTGAGTGGTCCACATATTGAAGTACGTTGGTCTACTCGGGCTTACCGCGAGTTTAACAATAAACGTAAATTTTTACGTAGAAAAATTCTGCAAAGTTTGCATAAGTATCAAGAAGCCTGGTGTTTGAAAAGTGTCAACGATTTAAAAGCAATAAGCCGCATCTGGTAACTGCCAGAAGCCCTTCCAACACACACAAGACATTAACACCAGGAGGACTGGTGTGAGTAAGGCAACGTGTGAAGCTTACGGAATGCCAGTGAAAAATATACTGAAGGATAGACAGACTTCTACGAAAAACAGTTCGGCCAGTGATCATTGATCACATAACGACGTGCGAGTTCGCAAGGAACTCAAATACCTGAAGCCCCATAAAACATAAACTTAGTTCCTTCTAAAGAGGATAGAGAACCTCTGGCTAAGGAACTGACTACGTTGTTAAGAAAAGTCTGGGGATTAAAGTGTTCTAACATCTCGGAATGAGACAAAAGTCGTTGGACTCAATTAATGGGGGATAAGACTACTTCCAGCAGTGTCTGAGCTACTGGCCTCCGTTATGCTTCAGAATATCCAAAACCAGACTAGTTTTTGTTTTCGTAGTGAGTGTATCGATCATATCTTTACCCTCCCCCACAAGATTTAATAGCACCGCCACACTTACTACAGGCCAACTATCGCTGTTTCTTGATATCATGGATACCTTCGAATCGTTGCACAGGACTGCACTCCAGGATAGTCTGTTGAAAGATGTACCTGAGAAGTTTATTATAATCTTGAGGGCTCTCTATACAAACAACTCAAACAGATTGAAGGAATACAACCCCCTCTCTCTATCGCTTTAATCAAGCAATAGGATTAGGTGAGGTTACTCATTCTCACTATTCCTCATCAACTTTGCCATTGATGATATTCAGTGAACAGCTCTGATGGCTGTATGTAATGGTGGTGTGGATCTGTTGCCTAGAGAAAGACTTCTTGGCCTTGAGTATGTGGATGATATTGTCTTAATGTGAGGTGATAGCCAAGCCATGCAATCCATATTTAATCAGTTGATAATTGGTGTCCGTAGGTATAGCATGTGCTTTGCACCTTCGAAGTAATCTTACAAGATTGGCAGAACCTTGAACCTGCACCCGCTTTTGGTGGTGGGCAGTTAGAAGTGGTCGAGAGGTTCGTGTATTTAGGTAGTTGTATAAGTGATGGTGGTGACGTGAGTGATAGGATCAACTTAAGCACAGTGAAAGCCAGAGGGGCTTGTGTCAATCTGGACTATCTTTGGTGTCTTCATGATGTTATTCTGTCGATCAAAAGTCAGATTTAAAAAAGCATCGGTAAGACCAGTTGTGCTATATGCTAGTGAAACCTAGCCTCTGTGATGTGAGGATGTTAAGCAACTCTCTGTGTTCGATTATCGTTTTTTATGAAGAACTGCAACCATTCAAGTAATTATGAGGTTCGGCAACGTGTTCGGGCATAGTGACGATAGTTTATTTAGTATCATCATCTTGAAACACTGAGGTTAGTTGATTGGAAATGTAATATGAATTTCGTCCCAGCGACTTCCACGTCTTTCGTTAATTGTTAAGGCTGAGACCGGTTAGAAAAAAATGGAGAGGCGGTCAGTTCATAGCACAGTTTCGATGTATGAAAAAAAGTTTCACCGTGCTGGAATTTGTCGGTTCTCCACAGCTCTGTGATTGTGGTTCAAGAAACGACGCAACTTAGTGGCTTGGGACGTTACCAGACATGGTTCAAAATTGAAGCCAGTAACAGTCCTGTCTTTTTTGGAAGTGAAAGGAACTTCTCTAACCGAAAGGATTTTTTTGGTTTCATTTTTCTTAACTGAACTACCAAATGGCAAGTAACCTAGGTCCAGGGTTTACTGTCAATTATCATCTTACATCTCAACACAATGCATAAGATCTTGATTTACTTGGATTAGTGGCCAGATTGCAATTTTATAAGCACTAAAAAGGACTTAAGATGAATTACACTGGTCACTACTCAGTGACCAATCAATTGTGGATTGCTACTCCCTTTACATACTGTTTTCGTCCACTTATTTTTATTGTACTCACCCTCCTTTCTTTATTTCTTCACAATTTCCTATCTTTTGTATGGCGCTTGTATATTTTAATACCCATTTGTACCAAGATTTATACGTTTAAATAAACAATTAATAGGTAGACTACATTATCAGGAACAAATTCTCACTCAAGTAACATTGATCAAACGACAATGTCACGGATTTGTAAATGTCAGTATACACTGAAACTACTGGAGAACAAAGTACAATTTCTTGGGAGTTATGAAATGGTAATAGTTTATTTTTTGTTTACTGATGAAGACCAAGTACATCTAAAGTGAAGTAATCCACAAGATTGTAAAGATGATTATCTAGAAAATTGTATGCAGCAAGTGTTACGGAAATGATATAGAACCTATTATGATAGTGGGTTGAATTTACTATACTTTTCAAGAGCTGTTGAGAAGAGTAATGGAAACAAATCAAAAGCCTAAGAACAAGGACTATAAGCTGTAGGGAGAAACTAAATAGGTGTACTTTAACTGATTTTCAGACATTTTGTCCACGTATTTGGATTTCTAGTTTTCTAAAATCTTGTGCATCGTAGCTAAGTGGCTCAAACCATCCTGATGGGATGATGTCACTTTTTGATAAGACTACGTTGCTGTTTTTCGCCACTTGATTAGTAATCCAATTACCATTGGAAGTACAACTAAGTAGTTGTATGATGTGTACAATATAACCAAGCCGTCAATAAATACTAGTTTAACTTGCTAGTCAACCGAGATTTTTTATGATAATAAGATACGTTTGTAATAGTCCAATGAGCTGGGAATTGAATTTCTAATGTACATCAATATGAACAATACACCCAATTATCAGCTTATTTGAAACTATTAAGTCAAATCTTAATAATGAGTTTTTCAAAAAAGTCCGTAGTAAGGGTATTCTCTACCTCCGTATGTATAGGTTGGCATAATAACCCTATGTAAAAAAACGACTAAGTTAAAGAATTTATCCAATCCTTGAAATTTTTTGTGTGGATGAGGATAAACATTCAAGAAATATTAATTTGTAAAAGAGTTACGGCTATAGGTTTGTATAGGACACTTGACGATGATTTATGGGAAACAATAGAAACTAATTCTGAAGTGTAGTTAACTGGGACAAAACACAGTACTTTAGACTTACCTTTTAGGAACTCTTAAATACTCCAAATATTCACAACACTGAGGGTTTGACTTTCCGAACAGGAGAAAATGTTGCACAAACAGTGGAGAATATGAGCCATAAAAGTGGTAGCAAATTCCGAACAGTACACCAGCTATCCCAAGACCACTAAATATTCTTGGAAGTGGTGATAAAAGGTTTACAAATATTGTGTCCTAAAGAATTAAAACATGTAGTATCCTTATAATAACTGATGAACTACATAAATCTTGGGTATAATTATTTTCCATACGCAAAAGGAATCTTGTTTACATATGGCGTCAGTTCACAAAATCTTGAACAACCATAAGCTTTTGTTGAAAATAATGTCAGACTTATCCTGCCATTATATACATGGTTTAAGTACTGAAGTGAGGATATGCCTGATATACAATTTTCAGAAGAATAAGAGGGTATAAGCTGAAGTAATTGCTTGAGAAATCATGCTTCGAAATTTAAAGGCTTAATAAATACCTAATCAAAATATGTATGTCAATCATTTAAAGCTAAAAGTAGTGCTTACGATTTAGCTAACGACCTGAAAATCCAAAGTATCTCAAAATCGAAGGAAATTGACAGCAAATCCGTTAAGACCTATCCAATAAACTCAGAAGTATATGTGAGTTTTGCAATACCTTATTATCAATCTGACGGAGTAAAAGTCAACATAGCACGTCCTGAGACGTATCTCATACTGGAGTCATAAGGCGCAAATATGATAAACAGGTGCAAGAGATCAAGAGCCCGTAACTTATGCTGATTTATTACATTACTTACTTAAGCCTGCTACTCCCAACAGAGCATAGGCCACCGACCAGCATTCTACAACCCACTCTGTCCTGCGCCTTCCTATCCAACTTTTGTTCATTCTTCTCATGTCTACCTCTATTTCTTGCTGTAATGTGTTCTTCAGTCTTCCCCATCTCTTTTGGCCTTCAGGGTTACAAATGAGGGCTTGTCTTGTAACACAGTTGGGTGCTTTCCTCAATGTGTGTCCTATCCACTTCCAGCGCCTTTTCCTGACTTCTTCCTCCACTAGAATCTGGTTTATCCCCTCCCACAGTATGTTGTTGCTGATAGTGTCAAGTCAGCTGATCCGAGGTATTTTGCGTAGACAACTGTTAATAAGAACTTGTATCTTCTGGATGATTGCTTTCGTAGTTCTCCAGGTTTCCGCCCCATACAGTAGAACTGTCTTGACATTTTATTGAAAATTCTTATCTTGGTGTTGTTTGACAATTGTTTTGAGTTTCAGTTGTTCTTTAGTTATAAGTATGCTGTTCTTGTTTTGCCGATCCACGTCTTCACATCTACATCAGATCCACCATGTTTATCGATGATGATGTGCAGATATGTAAAGGTTTTCACATCCTCCAAGGCTTCCTCGTCAAGTGTGATTCCATTGATGCATGTTGTGTTGTATCGGAGAGTCTTGCTTTTCCCTTTGTGTATATTAAGACCTACTGCTGCTGCTACACTTCGTCTTCTGCATTTGTTGTTGCGTGTGTGATAGAAGGGCCAGATCATTTGCGAAGTCTAAATCGTCCAGCTGCATCCTAGCTGTCCATTGTATCCCGTGCTTCCCTCCAGATGTTGACGTCTTTATAATCCAGTCGATCACCAGGAGAAAGGGTGAGAGTAAACAACCTTGCCTGACACCGGTCTTTACTTCAAACGAGTCAGTGAGCTGTTGTAATTACAACACTAAGCGTTTAAACGCTGACTTTATAGCTTAAACCAACTGATAGGTTGAAATCGAGAAAACGGTTGCGAGTAGATGTTACAGTAATGAAACTTTGTTTACTCATGCAAACACTACTTACCATACGACGAGACTATAATTTATGGACGACCTTGGAACAAATCTAAAGTGACCTTGATAAATATTAGCCAATCAGAAAGCAGGTAGTATAGAATTAAAGTGGCTGGTATCTCGTTGTCAATGGGACAAGTAGATGTAACTCTTCACGTAGAGTATACTTCACTAAAACAGGTTGCAAATGTCTCAGTTTTTGCTAGATCAGATTCAGCCAATAAATCTGAATTTTCGTTTAACAGTAATGGGAGGATACCATCACTACGTCTTGTCCGCCTTTTGACGTACGAAAACAGTCGCTTCGGACAGATACGGCTATTGTATGTCAACTGTCGTTCGCAAGCGTTATGGGATTTAGCTACGGACTTATTACATATATTCCGGGTTTTTATATTCGCGCTTAAATGATGCTTGACCTGTTGACAAGAATAAGTTCCAGAAGTGTTTCCTACGCTTTAACAGCTTCCGGGTTTCCTTATTAATCCATGGAGGGCAATGTGATAGCTTACGCGCTGACCATGGCACAAACGGTTGAGTTACGGATTCGAACGTAGACTTGAACCTATTCCATGCATCATCGATCGATCCATCAGCATCGACCGACCAGTTAACAGAGATAGCATGGTTCCTGATTGCCGGAATATTAGCCCTCCAGATAGTAGGACGGGGTGGAGCACATGCAAATTCTATACCATGTATCCGGAAGCTAAAGGAAAGTACGACATGGTCACTATTCACCAGTGGGGGAAGGTGTTGAATGTCGACGGTATCTTCACAGTGGAGCGTGAGGACTAGATTTATCAATGACGGATTATGTTCCAAGTCAATATGTGTCGGCTTTACGATACATTCTATAAGTGCACATTAGACAACTGATGATAGAAGGACGCTATCGAAACCCCATCTGGAGCTGCGAGCTCTACCCAGTTGATATGGGGTGCGTTGAGGTCTCCAACGATGAGACAACATCCTGTCTTACTTCAAGAACAGACTTGTCGTACAACATACTACCTAACACGTACCAATTACATGCGCCTCCTATATAATCGAGTGGATGCGAAAGTGGTCCCTAACATATAATATTATGCCTCCTCCCTTGCGACTTATAACTCTATCACTTCTGACACAGATGTAGCCTGAAATGACTGGAGAACAGTCTGTATCTACAGCGAGCCAAGTTTCGATGATAACAATTATATCGGGATTTCATTCGTACACCATCAAACTTAGCTCAGAAATTTCATTTCGAAGACTGTGGGCATTCGTGTGACACACATTTAAGGTGTTTTTGGAAACGTGCGTTCTACCCACACAGGTCTCGGAAGCATTGGCTTCCAAGACCTGATTACCCAAAACCCTTAATCGTAAGGTTCGTTTCAACTTTTAGCTTTCGAGTTTTTAAACTTTGTCAGGGCATTCTTCCACTTGATCTGGTCCTCAAGTGGCCAGTCTGGTCGAATACGAATGTTTGGATCACGAATTTTGCGTGCGTTATTCAATACTACATCTCTTTCCTCAAAATTACCGAGTACTAATTCAAGGATCCTTATTTGTTGGGTCTCGCCTCTAACATATTTACCGAGTCTGATGACTTTCGTGATATGTACCCCTGAGACCTCATCGTGCAGTACATTTCCGATGACAGATCTCACTAACTGCAGATCGTGGACATGTCTCTTAGCAGGGTCGGTGTCTTTCAATTTTTCTAGATTCCAAATGATTACACTAGGGACCTGTTTAACTCCTTCAAAAGTCGTGTTCACGGCTTTCGACCGTGATGTCAGTTCCTGCATGTTAGTTACTGGCTTCTTACTGTTAGCTTTCCTTTTAACAGTGTCGTGTGAGTCGAACGAGTGACTCACAACAACATTTGGTGAAGGCGAATTGTCTCCATCCACGACATGGCTAAATATTTTCTTACATTTGGACTAAAGCGGAGTAACCTGATGCACCTGACATGAGTCCAACAAGGAATTTTCGATTATACGCGCGCTCTCTTTAGGTATTTTTTTTCTATTTTATGTTTCCTCGTCATCCATTTCCCACCAGTCTCGGCATTCAGATTAGAACTACTCGCGTGACTAAATGGTTCAAATGGTTATGGATGGGATAGACGAAGCTTTCACTTAACGGGCTTCCGTGTATAGTGACAATGGATCACGAATACCTCCAGGCAAGAACCTAGGTGTTATACTTGTGGCCGAGTGGACGCCTAGTTAATGTGTGACGCGATAAGACCGCCAATCAGGGAGCAGCGAATTATTGATTGGAACAGTGACACACGAAACCGTACGAGCAGTCTAGAGTGCTAATCGGTCCTGCGATCTACCTAGCTCAACCAGTTAAGTCCAAAACACCAATAACAGCCTCAGTGGTATGAATCATTGTATTTCAAATATACTGAGTTTATATACCAAACAAACAAACCATATCGACCCATAAAATAGATAATAACAATTGTACAATATTTAGCCGAATGTGGCTCTGAATAGTAATCAATAAACTGATGATAACTCAAGGATCGTATAATAATAGTTCAAAGGTCAGAATGAAGTTAATGATAAGAGAAAACGAATATGATTAGGTTAATTACAATAGGAAATATACATATTACATTGACCAATAAATAGTCCTGAAATTTTACCATTCGTAATTCTCTTCGGGATACAATGCTAGGTATATTAACGATAATAGAGGGAAAAAAGAAATCGGTAAACTATACTAAGTTGTTATCCTTAGTCCTTAAGAATGGGTCGAGTGCCCTGATAGTAAGTGCTTACTGGAAAGAACAAACCGAATCCCCGAAACCCTTCTACAATCGTTTATCAATAAGTCGTCTGCGGAATGTCGGATGATGCAATACCTCGATGTCTTTTATCATCAAGACGACGTTTTAACAGCACAATACAATCAGTGAAGCCAGACAGAAAAACGGTGCACTTACATACCCAATTCATCAAACCCCTGACTACAATCAGCCATTATGAAGTTTCACCAGAAGGAGGGGTAGCATACCCACGCCCAGGCACTGAGGACAGTGCCTCATGGAGAAAGGGGGTAGTGTAATGGTATCAAAAACCATTACATGCGACGTTATTATTGCGAGTTTGTTTTTCTTATTGCAGGGCAACAAAGAGAAAATGCACTGGAATAAGAGGAACAAGCCCTACGCGATCTGAACCTGCAGAACAACGAGTAAAATTATTTTGTAATAAATTTCCCTTTTTGTATTCGAACCGCGTCTTTCAATCTTAAAAAATATATCTGTTGTGCCAGTACACCGTGTTCTCACTCCAGAGGCACTAACCGGTCCTGACTGTTATGTTGTTGTTTCGGATAGCTCCTGCTCCCAAGTGAATGTTAAAATATAACATGCTACAGTGCTGATGTACATTCGGCTCACAGAGGATTTTAAAGAAGTCGTGACAATTAAGCGATTACAATAACTGGTCCTTAAAAAATGGGTCAAGTTTCCTCTTAAAGGACTCAGTCGGCAGCGAATTCCAGCATTTGACAACTCTTACGGGGTAGAAGTTGTGTATACAGTCTATTCTGCTATGTCGGGTCTCTAGTTTCTGAGTGTTACCCCGTAGGTTAGTATTGTGACTAAGCTTAAGTAGATGTTTAAGGGGAAGTGTTAAGGATAATGAAGGTCATAAGAATTTCACCTATACTGTAACGGGTAAAGGTTAAGTGACTGAGGGCGCTCTTCATAAGGTTTGAATTTAAGTTCCCGAAATGATTTCGAGACTCGACGTTGGATGCGTCCCAGAGTGTCCTTATCCTTTTGGAGGGAGAGAGGGAATACTATGTTTCCTTACTGTAAATGGGGACGAATAAAACTGTTAAAGATTATGTGGAAAGTCCTACTGTCAAACTGGCTAAAAATGCGCTTCAATGTTACCAGCGCAAGGTTTGCTTGAAAGGCGTTTCTGTCACAGTTAGCGTATGACTTCAAGTAATAGAGTACCAACTCTTCTAAATCTTTTTCGACTTGGGATACCTCTAGAGAGGAGTTTCCTAAGTTGTAACTATAGCCTGCAACATGTCGCGTATCTCTCTCTCTCTGTCCAAAGTTTCACATCATTAGCAAAAAGCAATAAGTCAGACGAAACCTGTTGTGGAAGATCATTTATATAAATCAAGAAGAGAAGAGGTCCTAGTATTGATCTCTGGGGGACCCCACTAGGACATTATATAGCCTGAGAGAAAGTGAAGTTAACCATGACTTTAAAATGTTGGGAAACTTCAGTTTCGGCTTGTCGAAGAGAAGCTGCGTAACGCAATAAGGTTTTCGGATTGGAGACAAATTTATCGACAAGCTTGGCCTGGGACTGAAGCCCGTCTTCTCTTATTGCCTTTGTTCATATGTTCCTTATATGTTCGTATTGCCTGTACGCGCCGTTGTTATCAGTTCGTTTATATTCAGCCCAACAGTGCCTTTTGCGGCTTAGCAAACGAATAGTGCGGTTCTTGATGATTGTACGTTGTTTGTAACTTTTCGGGACCGTTAGAGGAACTGAATGCTTTGTAGCACATAAGATTGTGTGCAGTAAGAAATCCCGATGAGCATCCACTTCAAGTTGAGGGCGAACATCTCAATCCCCCTGTTGTAGATAGTCATGCTTTCAGAGTTGCAGCTGCCATATGAGAGGATGGGAAAGTTATCTTCATTAATCAGTGTCTAGAATCTCTGTACTTCTTCACTAGTCTCGTCACATGTTGAGTCAGTATGTATTTGAGGTTCAAGGATTACTTGAATAATTTCCATTGTCCTATATCAGTTTGTTTGATCAGAGTCCGTGTTTTCCTGTACATCTTGCACAATAATATTTCTTTCGCGGAAAAACTTCTCGCGGGATTCTTTAGGGATGTTCCGGATGAGACTTTGCTCATAATACGGTATGTCAAGCAGTATTCTTATGTTCCCATTGGATTTCAGTAAGTGACTAGCTAGCAGGACATCCTCTTCTTCGGAAGCATGATTGAGTGCTACACGAGGTAGCCTTGGGTTAATTTGATGCCTAGAGTCTTTTCCCGAGTGAGCTGTGTGATCGTCAAAGGCTCTATTCTAGTAAATTCAAGCTTCCAGTTCAATTCTTTCCAGAGAATCTTGTCATTTTGTCTTGAAA